TGATTTTATGTGTCGTTCATGTTGTTCGGGATCTCTTCAATTATGAGAAATTGAACGAGACCTCGAAAGTCGTGCAAATTAGTGGATATTGGAACAATGTCGAGTCCTTGGTCTTACGAGAAGGATTCGGATGAGAAATTTCATGTTATGAATTAATTGCTAAGTTGTCGAGTATATATATCGCTGTTTTAGTGTTTGAGTTTTTAAAAATCGCACGGTGCTCGGAATGACTTGAAATTTGGAGGGATATGTTATCTGATCATTTCCAACCTTATGTAAAAATTTCGTAAATTTTAGAGACCTGTAGCTATTTTTAATAAATGAAGTGATTTCTGGTCAGAATATTGTTAAAAGCTTAATAAATTGGTTAGTGCTTTAAATGATATGAAATTTCCGTATGTTATGCCTCTAATATTTTTATATGCTGTGTTAACTTCTTAGAATTTTTGGACTAAGTTTGATAGGGTAAATAATTTATTTGTTGAATCTGCAGAAAGTTGTTTGAATTACTATAAATCGGTTGGTTGTTGTAAAATTCTGAAACTTGGCTGAGATGTTTATTTTGGGTGTATATTCATGCTGTTGAAACATGAAAATTTTTGGAGTTCATTTTAGTCATGTTTTGATTTAAACTCGATAACTGCTGAATCTTGCATGAATTTTTAATATTAGCACAGTTAATGTCCAGGGCCGAGATTTTGACATGTTATCTGTATCATTCTGTAGCTTGTTGTGTTAAATTTTCATGTCCTGAATCATTCATTTGGTTCGGATATGAATTCAGGTGCATTTTTGCTGATTTCTTGTAGGAATTTTATGAATTAATGTGCTTTGAGTTTAAAGCTGAAAATTTATGGTTTTACTTATTACTGGGAGGTGTAATTTTGTGTAAAATTTCAGAGCTTAAGTCGTAGGGTAGCCTGACCATCTAATTTCATGTGATTAATAGCTAATAATTTTTAAACTATGATTTTGAAGTTAAATCTGTGATTGACTTGCTTTTCGTTTTGATGTGAGTTTGTCTTGGTCTATCCTTAGATGGAATTATTATATCTCCCATATGTGGTTTGGTCGAGTTTAGTGCCGAGTCTTAGTGTTCCAACGTCCACAGGACTACTTAGTCGAAACAAGTTCGACTAGGTCTGTTTTGTGTTTTCCGATTAAATCAAGATATTGATTGTAGGATCTTGACATAATGTAGGTGTTTGAGGAGTCAAGCCTCAACCTACGTCTTTTCTGAATTGCTGTCATCAGTCCGAATCCAGGTGGGTTATTCTAAAATTATCTATGCATATGTGTGATTTTAAATTGTGATGAAAGTTTGGTGTGATTTATGTATGAAAATGAACATGTAGCCTATCGATGTGAGCTTGATGGCCATCGGTACGGTTGTCCCTGTATGATAAGATACGGTTACCCAGTGAGGTAAATCTCATTAAGACCTATGAGAAGGCCGTGTCATTGATGTGGCACGCACTCCCATGTTTCACTGATATGGCATGGCTTAGCTTTGATGAGCATAGATGTACATGAGTGAGTCTTTGATGAGACTATAGTCATTGATGTGGCTAAAGATGTGACATGATTTTATTGTTTATGTTCATGCTACGAGCATACCATTATTATGTTATTCATATGCATAGTGTGAGTACGATAGTTAACTGTACTCACTCCCACCTGCTCTTCACGGATGCAGGTTAAGCAGTCGGCGGGTGACGAGACAAGACGGGTGGTGGTCATGCTTTTATTTATCGCTTATTATTTGCTTCCGCTCATTTATGTTGAGATATTATGACTATGTCGTTTTGCACTTGGAATTGTGAATTATCTTTATGATTTGGAACTTAATGAATGCCAGTTTGGTCTATGATTTATTATTCGTGCATGTTGTCTTTATTTGATACGTTTGCATTTTTGGTTAAAGGCTTTTGGTAAATTTGTGTAGCGCCCACTGAGTTTTTAGTTAAATTAAAGTTGGCAAAAAATTTATTGTGATTTTTATTAAATAAATTCGATAAATCTTTTAAAATAAAGTGGGGCGTTACAGATGGTTTCTATTTTGTTTGGATTTGTGGAATTTGTTTTTTGACCTCTCTGGCAGGTCGATGGAGTTCACTTGAAGCAATTCACGGAGCTTATTGGCAGACCTCGATGGCAGGTCAATGGTTTTTACTTGGTTTAGTTTTATCAAATTTGTCTTTTGACCTCAGTGGCAGGTCGATGGAGTTCACTTGGAGAAATTCACGGAGCCTATTGGCAGACCTCAGTGGCAGGTTGATGGTTTTTACTTGGGTTGGTTATATGGAATTTGTTTTTTTGACCTCAGTGGCAGGTCGATGGAGCTCACTTGGAGCAATTCACAGAGCTTATTGGCAGACTTCGGTGGTAGGTCGATGGTTTTTAGTTGAGTTAGTTTTGCCGGATTTGTTTTTATACCTCATTGCAGATCGATGGAGTTCACTTGGAGCAATTCATGGAGCTTATTGACATACCTCGGTGGCAGGTCGATGGTTTTTACTTGGTTTGGTTTTGTTGAATTTGTTTTTTGACCTTAGTGGCAGGTCGATGGGTTTTACTTGGTGCAATTCACGAAACGTATTCGCAGACCTCGGTGGCAGGTCGAAGGCCTTTACTTGGTGTGATTTAAGGATTTATGGGCAGACCTCGATGGCAGACCTCGAAACAAGGTTGGGCACTTTCAGTCGTCGGACGTATGGGAAAATCGACGGGCAAGATTGATTGAGAAAGCAGAAACGATAAGCACATTAAATTTGATACGACATGTACACTGTATGAGGACGGTGTGGTAGACGAGGAGGTTGCGTTAAAAAGATGTATGATTTGAGAGGATAAACAACAAGGTTAAATTTTAAATTTTGAACTAAGGGGCGACATGACGAGGTGGTCAAGAAGGTTTATCTTTGAGCGAAAAGAGCTCAAACATGGTGATCGAAAAAACAACAGACGTGAGTTCAAATTTTCAAATTCAAGATTCCGGGTAGAGGTCGAGAAAATCTATCAAAGTATCATGAAAGTCCAAGTAAGCAGGTCGAGAGATATCAAAGGAAGGTCAACATTGCAAAATGAGGAGCAAAGGAATATACACTAGGAATCAAGGTTTGACTGGAATGTGGCGACATGTCTTTCGGTTTTCGACCTCAGTGGCAGGTCATTCGATTTTCTACCTCAATGACAGAACATTCAATTTTCGACCTCAGTATTGCGTCAGGACATTCGGTTTTTGACCTCATCGACAGGTCATTAAGTTTTCAACCTCAATGGCAGGTCATTCGGTATTCGACCTCATCGACAGGTCATTCGGTTTTTTACCTTATCGGCAGGTCATTCGGTATTCGACCTCATCGACAGGTCATTCTATTTTTTACCTCAGAGGTCATTCGATTCTCTACCTCATCGGTAGGTCACTCGGCTTTCGACCTCAGTGTCAAGTTATTTGGTTTTCTACCTCAGTGGCAGGTCATTCGCTATCCGACCTCATCGACAGGTCATTCTGTTTTCAACTCCAGTGGCAGGTCATTCGGTTTTCGACCTGAAGGTGGCGTTAGGTCATTCAATTTTTGACCTCATTGGAAAGTCATTCGGTTCTCGACCTCAGTGGCAGGTCATGCAGTTTTCTACCTCAATGGTAGGTCATTCAGTATTCGACCTCAGTGGTCACTCGGTTCCCTACCTCATCGGTTGGTCATTCGGTTTTCGACCTCAGTGGCACGTTATTCAGTTTTGGACCTTATCGACATGTCATTCAGTTTTCAACTTGAAGGTGGCATGCGTTATGTCATTTTGTTTTCAACCTCATATGCAAGTCATTCGGTTTTTGACATCATCGATAGATCATTCAAATCTCTACCTCGTTGACATGTGTTTTAGTGCTTATTCGGAGGCCATTCGGTGGCCACTTAGGATATTCGATGTTCATTTGGTGCTCATTATATTCATTTGATGATTATTCAGTTTATTCTGAAGTCATGCGGATCATTTGATGTTCATTTGTTGACTATTTGGTGGTCGAAGATTAATTCAAATTATAACCTCAGTGGCAGGTTGACGGAAACAGCTAGAAGACTTATTTCACTCTTGGATCGAGTTATTCTCACTCGACCAGAGTGGGGGGACCAGATTATATGGAATATCATAATAGACTGGTTTTAATGGATAAAGAATATACTATGGAATAAACCTACACATGCATGGGCTAGGACACGTCCTAATAGTATTGCTCAATCTAAACTTGGGCACTAAGGTACACCTCCCCTATAAAAGGGGCCTAAGGTATCACAAAAACACATTCTCTCCACATTCATTGTTATACTCTCATATTGCACTGGCAAGTGCTGACTTGGGCATCGGAGGCTCGACGTCGGGACCCCTCCCAGCGTTGAGTTCTTGCAGGTACGGAAGCCGTCCAAGTTGAAGGAGCCTGGGTGAAATCCATTTCACTATTACTTTTATCTTATGGGGTTCACTTGGTGTTATCTAATTTTACTACTTATAAGCTTATGCGTAAGCAGATTGTTTTGAGATTTATCTTCATAGGTTCTCTTTTGTAGTGCAAAGTTATCAATAAAAAGGTCCAAAAAGGTTCATGTTGGTAATCTTGCTAGTTACAACTTTATTTCTTGTTGCATGCACAAAGTAGTGACAGATGAATGTAACACTTGCTTTTGAACGAGGACATGTGGCCCACCCATTTGATATCAACAGTATAATTTATATTTGTTTATTAGTTGGAGTTATGAAAAGTAACAAGTTATCTATTGGTTTGTTTCCGACTTTTAAATCAGCTCATATTTTGCACTCGTATGACTCGTATGGCATTTGGATATTGCCTTCTAATTGGCTTCATCTATTTGAGTAATGTTATTAGTGTTCTGCCTTACAAAAACATTATCCATGAATTGGATAAATAACAGTCTTCTGTATAATTACACACTGTTAGATCTTTTAGAACAGTCATATCCAGCTTAATTCTCTTCAGAGTCCTATGTTTTGGGGTGAGGAGGCAAGTATTTGACACCTACGGTCTCTCCTACTTCGTTGATTACCTGTACACAAATACAATATACCTTTTTTCAAGATTGAATTACATAAAGGAAAAATGAAACTTTCAAAAAAAGAAATGAAACAATAGAAGTGCATATGGCCTCCAAAAATGGACTGATTTGAGGAAGAAAAATGGAGAAACAGAGGAGGACAAAAAAGTAGAACATGAAACAATTATTTTATTTTAATTTTTTTGTTTTATAATTTAAGTCGAACCTCCAAAGCTTTATTGAGGTCTTCCCTGGTATGAGAAGCAGAAATACATATGCGAGCACGGGCCAACAACAAAGGAGTTGCCGGGAAAGCAACTGTCACAACTGCCACCTATAACATCACAAGTCGGGACACAAAAGAATACTTAAATTTGATAAAGAAAAAAGCAATAGGTACGGAGTTATAGGAAAAGAAAACATATAAAGGCGTACATTTCTTTTGAGGCACTCGCGCGAAAAAGCAGGAATTTTTCCAGGATTATAGAGCATTACGGGAATTATGGGGGAGTCTTTATCGCCCAGAACCTCAAAACCCATTTTCCGCAGCTCAAAACGGAAAAAATTACTGTTTTCCTGAAGCCTTGCCAGTTTCTGAGGCCCTGCAAT